TATGCTTACAGTGCCTACTGTTTTAACGTGCTGCGCTGAATTCATCGAGAATCATGGCCTGGTGGATGGTATATATCGTCTAAGCGGCGTGACATCGAACATTCAGAGATTACGAAACGCGTTCGACGAGGATCGTGTTCCTGCATTGCATTCCGATGAAAGTATTCTACAAGATATTCATTCTGTCGCCTCGTTGTTGAAAATGTACTTCAGAGAGCTACCGAATCCGCTCTGTACGTACCAGCTTTATTCCACTTTCGTTAGCGCGGTTCAAGCTAGTACCGACGCGGAAAGATTGAGGCGGATGAGGGATACCGTTAGAAAATTACCACCACCGCACTACAGGTAAATTGGGGGAAAAAAAGGAAAATTTATCTTTCTCTCTATTTGAAAATAAATCTCTTACGAAGACAATAATAGGAAAATAATTATATAATTTATATTTTCAGAACGTTAGAATATCTTATGCGACATTTAGTGAGAGTCGCAGCTCGAGGAGCGGAGACTGGTATGACGCCGCGTAACGTTGCGATTGTTTGGGCTCCGAATCTCTTAAGATGCAAGGAATTGGAGGTTGGGGGCGTAGCCGCGTTGCAAGGCGTCGGTGTGCAGGCTGTGGTCACGGAATTTTTGGTCTGTTACGCCGAATTGATTTTCGGAGACGGCCCGGTCGGAAGGCCGAAATCATTGGCCATTACAACACCGGCGAGATTGCTTAGTTTGGAAGAGGCTCGAAATCGTAGCCTGAGAGGTGAGCCTGATTACGTGGAAGTGGGCGCTGGTCCAGCCGGGTTACCATTACATTACCATACGGTCATAGAATTACCGCGAAAGAGAAATGGCTCGAAACGTTCACCCTCGTTGAACTGGAGAGCTTTGTTCGGTCGAGGTGGTTTGGGTGCCAGAGGAAAAACAAGACAAGTTGGCACGCCACCTCAAACAGAAACGGTGCCAAGTTCCTTAAACTCCTTACGACGATTAAGACCAGTGAAAAGCGCAGACAGTTTGGATGGTGAGGACAGTTTAGGTCCTCTGCTGGGACCGCCACCAGCTAGACCTTGCGGGCATAGTCGATCAGTTTCGCATGATTCCTATTTCGATCATTTAGCAGACGCACCGAATACCGCGTCGCCGTTGGATTTGTCGGAAATACAGCTTAACTTCGACTTGGAGGAACGAGAAATGCGAATGTTCTCGGAGGAGGAGAGTGGGGGAGTTGCATCGGTGGAAGCATCTCCTCGACGGCAAAGAACGGAAGGAACGCAGAATATAGCCGCTACCGGTGGATCCAAGAGGAAGAGATCGCGATTAGAGGAAAGACTGCAATGCGACGTTGAGTTGCGCTTCATTGATAGCCAAAGTCCTGATCAGGTATATAATAATCGTGTGTTTTATGTATATAATTTTCTTGAATTTTGTTGTTGTAAAAACAAAAAGTTAAAATCGTTATTAACAAGTTTAATATTTTTTTTTTACAGGTGATGGTATCTGCAGATATTCATAGCATGGATACTCCATCTCCTTTGCCAACACCAGGGTACCTACCGTTATTATCCGAAGCTTCAACCCCGCTCACACCCGCTACACTACACGGAACACCGCATTCTACGTCACCTGTACCAGCTAACAGTCCTAGGATAAGTTTCCGAAGTTTCACTTTACCTTTAGAAATCGATGACGAACAAAGTAACGCGAATAAACTGAACAGAACTAGCGTGTCTTCCGATAAATCATCCGACCCTAGTCATAGGTTATCTGTAAACTTAGAAGGGCAGAGTAATGCTAAATCCTGTGAGAGAATAATGGCATACGACAAGCACATAGATTTGTACGATGATAAAGAGCCTTCCAAGACTCAAAAGACTTCGAAGGAAACAAACTTAGTTGTATCGGATGTAGTCGACCAAGAAATGATGCCTTGCGAGAGGCTAATGTCTCATCCTAGCGAGATAGACTCTAGTAAAGTAACAACGTCTATTTGTAAGGATATAGAAAATAGATCAAGCTCGTGTCCCGTTGAAGATAATAAATCTCGTAGCGGAGACACCAGAGATACGTTGGACGTGCGAAAACACGATGTACCGATGAACAAATCGATCGTTTCGCAAAACGACGATTTGGCTGCTATGGCTGGAAATTCAAACGCACATAGGAACGAATTACCAGGACTGCCATTATCCAGCGCAACAGATCTCGATTCTCCGATGTCATGCGAACAAACGATCGAGGATTTGCCCGATTCCGGTTTTGTGATTTGTGATAACTCCGACAAGATATTTACAAACACAGAAACATCACAGATGATATCCAACACTAACGATTCCGGTGAGTGGGTGATAGTAGAGACAACCGGTTCGATTACGACACCTACGAGCGAATCAAGTAGCTCTAAGGATCCTTTAGAAGGCACCGTGAATAATGCGATTGCAACGGATGCACCGCAACTAAGATCGATATCGGAAAATGTTTCCAGAACTTCTTTGGATCTCACTATGGGTTCAACTGTGGATACTGATACGTCTTGCATCGGCGTCAGTGACTTGACCGAAAGTCCCGTTCTTCCTCAGGAATCGGCTGAAATGACATTCGACGTTGCTGATAATAGAGAACTCGAGGAACATGATGTTAACACGGTACAAAGAACTTCTAGAGTTTTCGATGATCAAACAAATTTTGGAGTGGTTGATTCTGGGAATAATTTTTCAAATATCGTGCATTCGCCTGTACAAGATCAAGATAATGGAAATCAGAAGATACGTACCGTTAGTATGGCGGATATTCATTTAAATCAAAAATCTAATGAAATGGAGCATGAAAACAACGCTTGTTACACGCAATTAGATAACACTAAAGCGTTCAATAGAAATGAGAATCCAGTGAAGGAACAGATTCTCGTAGAAGAAGAAACTTTTGCAAATTCTCAACGATCCTCAAAAAGTCTCGATTTTCAACAACAAGAAATTCGACGTTCGTTGCAGTTACATCAGAAACCACAATTTCAGGCAAGTGACCGCTGCTCGTTCCCCAATCAATCAAAGAAGAGTCAAAATCTTGATTTATCTTTAACTAATGTTGATAACAACAAGCAACGTTGTCAAAATCAAAAATCAGAAAAGTGCCAAAGTTTTGAATATGTTTCGCCAAAGGAATCGACCCAGAACGGTCAACAGCACAAACAATTTTCCTCGCGTGCTGAAGAATCATTGAAATGCAATAACGTGAAGAACAGCCAATTACAAGAGCACATTGAAGTGGTAATACCATCGGAGAATGCGGCAGAACCTAGTGAGATAGCTCATCCTCCAGAAGGTGCATCCGAGACAACATCCTTAAACTCATCGTGTACTTTTTCAAATACATCTTCTCCGGTGGATGATTCTATCGTTCTTCGAGACACGGCTGCTATACTTCAAGAATTAGCTTTGCAAAGGTTATCTGGAGGTATTGTGGGAGATTTATCCCTCCCACCAAGAAGAAGATACGAAGCGGAAAGTAACAAGGATCGAAGAAGCTTTGATTCTGAAATCGGTAGGGAAATTGTACGTGAGCGAAAAATGAAGCAAGAATTGGATTCTGCTCGGGGAAAGTCGGAAGAACCACCGGTAAATAATACTCAACACTTGCCACCATGTTTGAGAGCTCGTCACGCGAGGGCGACACGAGCATCGCTCAGTCGATCTTTAGACGAAGCAAAATTCAATAAGATGACGGAGGAAGCATCTTTACCAGTAAAACAGGTTACAGAGGACGCGCAGCACAGTTCTACGCCTAATGTTGGAACAGGTTCGAACGCTACGTCGAGTAGTTCTGATAAAACGCATTTAAAGAATCTTGGGTTAGATCTTGGCGATCCTCAGTGTAGAGAAAGGATAGAAAAGTACAAAGAAGAAAGGAGGACATTCTTAAGGGATAAATACAGATCGGAAAGCTTTCGAGGAATGTTATCGAAGACGGAAGATGATGGGGAACAAGCGCTTTTGGCTAGGTTAAAGCAGAGAGCTTCTAGACCCTCCCTTCATTGATATTAAAGTAATATTTATGGAAATGTTCTGTCAAGTTTTTCCTGCGTTGAATAAACGGCTCTGCAATCGCGTCGCATGATGAACTATGATATATACTATTCCAGTGATCTATTCGTTGTACCGATCATCGCATTTAACCCTTTGTTCTCAACGACGTTCAAATTTTATTGAGGTACGTTTATTTCTTTTTGTTTTTTTTTATTATTATTATTATTATTTTTCTTTTACATTCGAATAGATATGAATTATTCGAATTAGATATAAAAACGTGTATTTTTTTCGTTTGAATAATTTCATATGATATTAAAAAAAATGGATATCAGTATTTTACGATATTTATCGAAAATGATAGTTAATCGACTTATATCGACTTGTATCAACTAAATCGATTTATATCGACTAAATCGATTTGTATCGACTATCGTAATTTTAAATGGAAGACATATTGATTCTAACGTCCAATTTCAAGAAACATACGTACGATTGATTTTTTAAGTGATTAAAAACTTTTTGCTGTTTTTCCTTTTTTTTTAAGTATTTAATTAATATTTCATTTAATATTTATCTTTTTCTGCGTGTTAGATTAATCGAGTACAAAGGATTAAAGTGTGAAATTCAATAAAATTAAATTAAAGATGAGTGGTATAACGAAAAAAGAAAAAGATGGTCTGATGATTGATGCTTTTAGAAAGAAAATCGATGGAAAATGTTCGGTTTTTTATCGCTGTTGTTAACAGAACAGTTCGATGATATAAACTGTATCTTTTAATTTATTATATAAACGATATTATACATAAATATTATTAGATTATTTCTGTTATTGTTACGAGTCGTGTAAGAAATCAATTTTTGTCATTATTGTTATCGTTCCCAAAGATGTCCCATTTTATTAATGCTTTTCGCGCTGTTCTGTTAATCGACTATTAATTTAATCGATATGTACCAGAGTGTATTGGGTTCGTGGACTGATTTGTTATCGACCCTTTGCACACGAAACTGCATTTTTTAACGTGAGTTGAAGTAAGTATGTAAGCTTGTTTGATAAATTTTACGCAAAGTTAAATGTTTTCACGTACGAATTTATATATAAATACTCCTCTTGTGATGGTTGAATTAGAAATCTTCGAATAATTATATGTTCGTAACGCGTAGTGCTTTATAAATACATGTTTTCTCATATTTTATTGTCGTCCTGTTTGTTTGAGAATAACGAAAAAAGATGACAAAAAAGAAAAAAATAAAAAAAAGACCAAAAAAAAAAGAGAGAAAGAAAAAACAAGAAAAATGACCAAATTAATGAATTCTATTAATACATATATAAAAAATATTTCAAATATTCGTTCTGTTTAGATTTAAAGTACGGGTGCAAAGGGATTAATATTTTTTAAGTGAAAGCGTATGTGTCTTCGTATCGATTAATGTAATCGAGTTATAAGATAATATAATCGAAACGCTTCCCTTTTTTTTTTTTTTTTTTTTTATGAATTTTGTTGTTGCTCATTGATCTAAATATTTTTATACGGTATTGCATTTTAACGAAAGGAAAGTTTGTTCGTTATAATAATCGGAAGTGTGTGTTAAGTATCCTAGTATTTTATCACTTCCTTTTTTTTTCTTTTTTTTCTTGTTTCGAATTTTGTTCGAATTTTTTCCCTCTTTTAAAATTAATATTGTTAATTTTTTTATTTTATTATTATTTTTTCATTTTTACATTTTACGTGTTCGTTTTCACGCCAATCGCTTATCACGTGTAAAAGAAATAGCACGTAGTTACAGATTTTATAAAATATGTTACACCCTATTAGTGTTATATCGATGTCGAGAATATGAAATTAGAATATTCGTTGATATTCGTGTTCAATTTTATGTTAAGAGCTCTGGTACATTTGATGGATTTTTGTTTACACTTTATTGAAAGTTAACAAAAAATTTTTTTTTCTATATATACTATACATAAATATACGAAAAAAAAAAAATAATTGAAATTACCATATTAAATTAAGTATTCTATGCATACGTTGATATATTTTCTTTTTTTTTTTTGCCATGGACTGGTCCATGGCTTTGTAACACCTCTTTTGTATATTCTTAATTACTATTATTTAATCAATACATGTAATATATTAATTTATACTTTTTAGTTTGTGCATTCGATGTAAAGAAGAGCCTAACTTGAAATCAAGATTACTAGAGGACCGAATATTTTTTTAAGGATAACATTGAAAAATTTTATCTCTTAAATAGGAAAGTATAATTTATTAAACTGATAGAGTTTTATAAATTGCATCACGTACAATATCCTTTAGTTTATATTTCCTTTTGCATTTACTTCTTTTTTTTTCTTTCATTTTTTTTCATCATAATTTTTACCATTTTTTTTAGGAATTGCCGTTCTTGCAAATGATGATCTATTATGGATTTACACTTTTTATTCTCAGTGTTCGCATTTATCTTTGATTAGCAGTTTTATCATATTTTTCTTCTCTCGAATAACTTGTATTATTACTATAATTTACTATTTAAGAATTTAGCATTTATTAAGATTTATTTACAAACTGAAAAGTATCCAGTCATATCGTAGACCGGATGTAGAAACGTTGGAAGATCGTTAAGTCTTTTTTCTGAAGTCACACGATCATGGTTCCCTCTTTTTCCAACAAATAAGGATAATCCAAACACCAGAAGAATAAATTGTCTCTCTTAGACATTATGATAATAATTTATAATAATTCATCCAGCATCATCGTCATGAATCAATGAATTTAGTAACAAATCTATAGAAGTCACAAGTCATCTTTTTAATATTTCGATCTCTGCCCGAATCAAAATAGTCTCGGGGAATCATCAATTTGTGATCCTGAAAATGCTCAAAAAAAAGGAAAGAAAATATTCATTAGCAAAAAAACGTTCAAATATGGATATCAACAGAACCTTTTTTAATACAATTAACATTGTGCACGCGTAATACGTGTTGTGTTCCAAGATAAATCGACCCTCATGCGACCCGAATATTTTATGTATTTTTTTATGCTACATGTAAAGTAGTATAAAATGATGTAACACGATTTTTTTGTAAAGCAAACCAAGCGACGACCAAGCACACATACTCGAAATCATCGAGATACATACTTAAATCCATTAGTTAACGATTTGTATTTGAATGTTTATGAAAAAAGAAAAAGAGAAAAAAAAAAAGAAGAAAAAAGAAAGATTAATACTATATAAGGAGAAAATTTAAAGAGTACTTGTGAAAGGATGAAGGATATTTTTTTCTTGTTTATTTTTTTTTTTAATTGTTATTTTTTATTAGATTTTTTTTTTTACTAGATATTACGATAATTATGGCTATGACGAGTGAGAGCAAGATATGTAACGAGAAAATATTGCGTCAATAGGACGCGTTTAGGATTTAACGCGACAGGATTTTCGAATTAATAAAAGTTAGCGATCGAGTAGCGGTGATAATAATTGGAACAATTGATTATTCCTCGTCAAATCCAATCTTTTTTGCTACAATTTTTCCTGTTTGATGTACACGTGACTCGCGTGATAAACTTGTTAAAGCGTTCACGAATTATTAAAAAACCTATACGAAGTATAAACATTTCTATAGCGTGTGTTGAAAAAGACTGTAATAATTTGCATTTAAACATTGCAAATTGTTCCAGTAGTATCGTTATATTTTTTACATTTTGTTTCTATTTTCGAATCGTGATAAATTTTTAAACGAGCATTGATCATTCGAAAGGTTAAAAATTATTTCTTGAATATTTCAATTAAAGTTCTAATTTTGAATTTCTTCTTAATATTTAATTATTGAAAATTTAACGTTATTAATTTGTTTGATTGATTTGTTTGAGTGAAATTAAATATTAGATGAATATAGTAGAATGAAATAAAACTAAGAATAAAGTCGATATAATTATCAAAGAATCGAATATTCAGTGTTCGATTTTTTATTTTCACTATAACTGTTATTTTTGATTAATTTTTATCGAAAACAAGAAGAAAAGGAAAAAATCGTGAGCGCGTAAATTTCATAAAAAATATGCATGCACAAGTAGCTTGTCCCAATGAGAAAATAAGAAGAAATTTATTTAGAAATTAAAAAAAAAGAAGTATTTAAAGTGAACTTTAATAGCTGCTTCCCTGGGTACCAAGTGTAATAGGAAAGGCCTAGTTAGCGATATTTAAAATAATGCCTAAAATAATAAAAAAAAAAAGGAAGAAAACTCGAGAATACATCTATTTACGAGTATACTTCTGCACAATGTAATGCGCAATAACGATACATCCGTAGGATGTATATTTTTAATAATTTGAGATTCTTGCGGTTATACCGGATATAATAGATATTATAGTCGTAGGATTCTGAGAATGAAAGAGAGAAAAGGTACGCCTATTAGAAATTAATATTTCTTATGAGAAATGACACAAAGATAATTCATAGTCGCAGAAAAAAAGGCTAATAGTAATCTTGTTTTTGAGCGTCAAATACCCACCGTTTGTCAACTTGGACACTATTATTCTGTTTCCCACTCTTTCGATTTCTTCTTCTTTCTTATTTCTTAGTTGTATTTCTCGTCGTATGACTGTTCTGTTATTAAACGATACTACTGTTTTTTGCCTACTACGATTATAATTATAATATATGGAAAATTATATGTAACAAATATAAATACTATAAATATTGGAGAAATCATATATCATTCTTATATTTCCTTTTAACCTATTTTAACACTGTTCAATATCAAATTTTAACTGCTTTTAAATGAAATCGTTTCATCTTTTAATTCTAGTAGTAAAAAAATACAAAGTATTTTATCATTGAAATATTTAATTTATAACGATACGACGATAATTGTTTCGATATTGTTGTTTCTCTAAAACAATATATCGAAATATTCATTATTCCATCTTTGATCGCATGTATTTCGATTGCAAATTGAATTAATTATCGAGAATTTTGCTAGGGGGCGGGGCGAGCGTCTGTCACTCGTTGCGCACCGATTGTTCTTTCATCATATCTACGCGCATATAGTTATAACGAAAATCCCGCCAATTTAACGGATCGTGATCGCGTCATATTATATCAATCCGGTGTGAATCACTTTAAACCCGAAAGAAACCTTTGGTCTTTAGTTCTTTATCGTATCCTTGTCGGTCTATTCAGTGACTACTCGATATTCGTCTCGTGATACGAGTTGAGCTAGTGTATCGTCAATTTAATAAGGCATCCGGAGCATCGCGTCACATTGTCATCTCGAATAAACTTCTTTCAAGCCGGTCTAACCTCTTAAAACGGTAAAGGACCTTTGGTCTTTACTTCTTTAAACGCGGTGATAGAGTGGTTGAAAGGTGAGGACCACTTGAACGGTGCCGGAAGAGACGCGAGGACGTACAGAAGGGGTTGGCTGGGCTGCCTTTATGCCGTAACAACGAGGGCCCACTTCAGAGGGCAGGAAGCACAAAGGTGAGGGCGACTCCGTGACTATCGCTGAATCTTCCACGGTAATTATTTTTAAACACGTCCTGGAGATACGAATCTTTAGTGGTTCTAGCACCGAACGGCCGAGTAAACTTCTCGCATCTCGCATGGCCTAACTAAATAACCGGACTAATTAGACCGTAGCCGTGTTTTCCAGCACGTTGTATTGTATCACGTTGATAATTATTTTTTCTTTCTTTTCTTTTGAACAAGAACTCGTTGTCACTCATTCTCAGTCTGTATGTATCGTTAAAGTTTGTTATATTTAATTACGATAAATGAAATAATTTATTTTTCGAAGAAATATCTTCAAGAGGTTTAACCTTTAAACTATTGAATTTGAGGTTAAGTTATACTTGATATATTTATTTGATTTTTTGATTTATCGATAATTGATTTATTGAAAATTTATAGTCATTTTTCTATAGGTTTTATAATTTTGATAAATACAAAAAGCTTTTTTTGTAAAAAGCTTAAAAATCTATCTAAAGATTAATTAAAAATTTGAAAAAATTGTCATATAAATTCGTATTTTTTAAAAATTTAAAATGTAAATTATATTTTTATTTCGATACCTCAGCAGAATTAATTAATTTTATAATTCAGAAAACGTGAAATTCTGTGAAATATCAATAATATACAATTGTTCGATCCTATCGGTGTCTGTTTCTTTTACTCGTTTCAAATCATTTCTTCGTTCATCTTTCTCTGTCAATCTTCCGATCATCAAGCTTTCCCTATC